GGAGGGAGGGAGGCGGCCGCCGAGCGCAGTGTTACTATCCCACCAGTAACTTGGGCTTTGCCGGGGCGGGGGCCGGAGGAGGAGGAGAGGATGATGTCTGGATCCTGAGAATTGATCTCTGTTGGATTAGTAAGTTTTATTATGATTATTTTTTAATTTGGGGGGGGCGAAGACTCGGAGCTTTTTCTTTTGAATTCGCTAAGAACATGCGGTTTTCAGGTGAATCATCAATTAAACGCGTTCAGCAGCAGAAACGCAGTTTAGTTCATAGAAAAATTTAAAAAGCCAAAGTGCATGAGGCTGCATGAAAGTGGAAAGCATAGTAACAACTTGGTAGACAGATGGCAATGGCAGAACGCAGGTTCGCGTACATACATGAATCCAGAGTGTGTGGCCCTGTGTGGATGGGGGAAGGACTGTATTTGTCCGCACATAGGTGCGAGTAGGTACATCTTTGTGGAGCGGCCGCAGCCCTGGCCCTTGTCACCGCGTCACCACATGTCCAAAATATTCATTGCATCAATTCAAGGGCAGTGAGCAGGGGTGGAGGGACACCTTGGCAATTAGATTCTTCCAAATTGGGTTTCCAACGTCCAGACCTGTATTTACAGTGAGACCGCCTATGAAGTGTAAAACCCTCCATCGGTGGAATTGGGAAGGAGTTACATCGATAGAGCAAAGTACCCATTAATCATGAACTTAAAACGGATTGCAAATTGCAACCTTTGGCACCATCTGCAAATTGTGGGGGTGGGGTCTCTTGGTCTCCTTGCTGCTTTAAATGAACGTGCCGTGTGTACCCCGGGACTGCAAGTTGCAAAGCCCTCCACAGTGCACGTGTCCTGTGCCTGTGAGTGTGTGTTCGCGAGTTGGGGGCTGTTGTTCAGTAGCCAGCAGGCTTTCCGGGTTGCTCGGCGCTGGCTTGCAAATGCGGGAGAGGGATGGAATGTGGAATGTTGACCGGGGAACCGAATCCTGTCGGAACGGTCCCATTTGCTGGAGAAATTCGATCCCTTCCACCTCCTTCCCGCTCCCCCCCGCCCGCC